TATCCCTTAGGTTAGGTTTATTGATAAGTTCTAAGTACACATATGCATTTTAATGACTAACAATAGCAATATAACAAATGTGATTGCTGATCAAAAATTTGATTTAATGGATATAAATAACTTGCTCTAAGTTTTACCTACGTACGTATATATGTTATTTTATGATCTTGTCACCCTAATCTAATCTTCTTTTCCATTCTTCTTTCCTTAGAGCACAGGGTCAGTCATGGTAGATTGGAAGCAAAGGCAAGTGATCAACTCAGTGAATTGCCTGACTCAGTGTTTGAACATATTCTGTCTTTTCTTCCAACCCAAACAAGCCATTACCATATGCCTCTTGTCCAAGAGGTGGAGACATCTTCTCTCGTCACTTCCCATTCTTGACTTTGACAACTCCAACTTTATAGCCTTCACTCCTTTCTTCAGTACGCAGATACAGTCATGAGAATAAGAGATCATTCGAAAACCCTCAAAAAGCTTCATCTCAGTCTCACATCTACACATAGAAGTGCGCCGCGTGTTAAAAAATGGATTCATCTTCTTCTCAGGCCTAAACTTAAAAGCGTGCCACAAATTAAGATCAATACATGGATTAACGCAGCAGTAAATTCCAAAGTTGAACATGTTGAGATTTATGACAAAACTTTTGACAAGTTCAGTTTTGAGGTGCCCTCTTGCATTTTCAACTGCCATACCATAACGGTTTTGAAGCTAAGTGGGGTTCCAGTAAAGATTCCTTATGTTGATTTGCCTTCCCTTAAAGTTTTGCATTTGAACAGGGTTCGATTTCCAAATATCAAATCCATCCAAGCTCTTCTTTATGGCTGCCCTTTGCTTCAAGACTTGGCACTAAAAATTTGGGGCATAAAGTATAAGCGCCTTTCAATTAATAAAGAAAGGCTTAAAAATTTGATTTCAGCTGATGTTTCTTTCTATTTATTTACTTTGGAATCTTTGTCGAATGTTAAAGCACTGCGGATAGATACGGTAAATTCATATTAGTGCTTTTCAATATTCTTAGATTTGACAATTAATTTTTCTCTTATACCTTGTTGCTGTCTCCCTCTTGCAGATTGGTTTTTCACCTCTCCCTGATGCTATAGTATTTATAATTTAATCCACCTGGAGATAAGTTATTATGCATATAGCTCGGACGGAACAATATTGCAATGCTTGCGAAACTGTCCCAAGCTTGAAACTCTTATAATTGATAAGGTTTAATTTACTTGTTGTTTTCAAACTTAATTTCGGGTGTGCATTGCCATTTTTGGTTGGTTTGTTTTCTAACTTTGGTACCTCGATGGCTCAGTTTGATTGGAGAGTGTGGCGGCAACCAGGTGTTCCTCATGCGTTTCATCACACTTAAGGAATTCCATCTTGGAAACTTCAAAGGCCGCGAAATTGAGTTCAAACTGGCAAGATTTATTATGGGGAATGCAAGGGTCTTGGAGACCATCTCAATTCGCAGAGAAAATACGTCAAAAGCAACTTCAGAACAAGAAATAATGCTCCAAAGATTATCGTCTTGTCCAAAAAGCTCGGAGAATTGCAGGCTTTTATTCAAGTGAATTCTTAAGATTTAGTGTGGTATTGTAAAAGTCACATCCCTATTCCTTTTTGGATGGTATCCACATGCATGTTCGGTTTATTTTGAGCAAATTCAAGTATTAATTCATTATATAGGCTAGGTTACATGAACCTTCGGACATGCGTCAAGTGAAAATAACTTTTATATTTTTTGAAATTTTACGATAAATAACTTTAATTTTATGCAGATCGATAACTCCTATACTATTAGCTTTGCACTTTTGCTCAGTATTTATATATAAATCGCTTGAAGTCTAAAGAGTTTTGGGAACTTATGTTTTATATATAAGGCATTTTGTAGAAGATAATGATAAACCAGGTTTATTGACGTGGCCAAATTATATTAAAGGAGTTTACAATAATGCTTCTTTAGATTAAAGAGGCTGAATAACTACCCTAACTTTTGACTAAGTTGTCCTCCAAGAGTCTTCATGTACGATATTTCTACATTTTATAAAATAGGGTGTCCGTCTATTCTTACCCAAGTCTTCAAGCCCTCTCCTTTCTTCTTCTTCGTTAAAACCTTCTTTCTCTTGCTGAATTCTTTTACCTTTTGTTATTCTACTATCCCTACAGAAAGAGTTTGTTTAATCCTAAAGAATGCCGCTTCCTAATTATTGAGAGGTTGCGGAGTATATCTTGAAAACAATGTCCTTGAGCATGACAACCACCTTAATTATTTGTTTATTGTTCTTTACTGGTGTTGCCAACAAATTAAATAATGAAATGCTCGAGAGATTATCACCAGAATTACGCTTTTTCTTTCCTTTAACAACATCCTATTACAACCACCCATACATACATACATATATATATATATATATATATAGGCTAAAGTGTGTGTGTGTGTATCCTTTCCGACAATAGTGGAAGACCATTCTTCTTATACTTAGACACCTCCTATGAGGCACAAATCTCAAACTTGTTCTCTGTTACAAAATGTTATCACTCTATAAAAACTTATATGTTTGTATAATAGCAAAGAATTTGCTGTATATGTTCGCACCACAAGTATACTAGTCGTGACAAGTAACACGGGATGAGAAAAGATCACTGTCACAGAGATTTATGTAAAAATAAAGACCAAATTAAAGAGAAGTGAATTTAATTAAGTTGACCCAAACAAACTTTTGGCAGGTAGAGTGAATTTTAAAAACTAATATTTAAAAACTAGAAAGTGATGAAAATAATTGATTCTTAAACTTCAAGGTATAAAATGGACATAGGATTATTCTTCCCGGGTATTTCATAACTTTTAATTTATCTCCTCTCATAGATTTCTTAATGAAATATATGTTAGTCTAGGATTTAAAGAGTACCTACAAAAGCTTCCTCAAGTTAAGAAGAAGTGTTTAATTTTATTAATTGTTCAACTCTTGTTATAATTAATAAAACCCAATTTTAAGCTTCCGAATGCATATATAGCAGTTCTTCCAAAGCTCAATCTCTTGCTAGTGTAGGACTCGTTAACAAATCTTCAAATATGTCCATCACCTTACAACTCTTGTGAAAAACTGTTTTGATAGTAGTAGGTCGAAGTTCAACTAAAACGTTAGTTTTCCTAAATATCGTGACGGATTTTAAAAGATACCTGTACCATCGAGTTATTCCAATTTAAGATATAACATTTGATCGCGATTTCCTATATCTCTAAACTATAATTATTTTGGCTCTGTTAATTTTGGTCTAAATTTGTTAATTCTTTTGCAAATTTGTTATTTAGTTGCGAAAATCAATTTTCCACAATGATTTGTAGTGGATTAAGTCGATCGAAAATTTATCTTTCTTAGTCAAAACTTCTAACTAAATAAACAATGACTGAATCCGTTTTATTTACGAATTCATCGCATATCAAGAAGGATGTTAACACAAAGATACCGTCCACAATGATCGGTAATTAATTATTTAATTATAGAATTTGCATTGAATATCAAAGTTCCAAGATTTGGGTAAACCGAATTGATTTGAATTCTACTTTTTAAATGTCCAATTTAATCATAGCTTTAAGAATATATTACCTTTACTACTTAATAGAAGAGCTAGTTTGATATTGATTTGGTCCGATCTTAATACACTTTATTTCTTATATTTATTTATTTTTTAAAAGTAGTCTTTATAGTAGTTGTACACATTAAAAGTTTTATCAAATGATAGTTTTAGCTAATACACATGATTAGTAAGGGTATTCTAGAAAAGACAACACCTATTTATTATTATAAATAACTAAATTAATTTTCTTAATTTTTTCAAATTAGTCAACTAAGTCTTATATTAAAGAGTGAAAGTAGTATATATCTTTAATAATTTTTAAAGAAAAATTAATCTGTCAGTTCTTATAGCTTATTTCAAAATTAGGTCCCTGTAATTTATTTTGTTTCAAGGAAGTCATCATAGTTTGATCTGTTGCAGGCATTTATCCTTGTGTATACAAATTGTTGATTTTAATTTGTATACTTTCATGAATTTTACGGACTCTCCTTCATTTTCACGTTGTTTTAACACCATTGTATTTCTATAAATAAAATTTCATAAAATTTATCAATTAAAATGAAAATATCAAATAATAAAGACTCAATTTAAACAAAACATATTATACGAAACAAATTTTAAGTCTTTTTTGGTTTTTCGAAAAACAGTGATTGCCTTGAACATATCCGGATTCATGGGTTGCTCATCTCTCATATAGCCGCCCATGTTAAAAGTGATGATACAAATGTTATTTAATTCCTTCATTCTTATATATCTTTCGGCATGAAATACTTTATTCTTATGTTTTTGACGAAAACGAAATTATTATTAAGCATCTAATGAAATTAGATTTGGATATCACAATGAGCACTGAATTCGGATTAGGTTCCCTTTATTAAGTATTTTACAATTTTGGTATACAACGAAAGCTCAGCTCAAACAGAATTAACCTAGAAGGTATTTACCAGACTCATTAATTACTTCCCTAAACCTTTGATTTCAACTAAAACCTTCATTTCTCATACTTGATTCCCAAAGTAGAGCCAAGTTATGGCAAAATCAAAATCCCAAGCAGCATCAAGAGATAGAATTAGCAACGTACCAGACTCATTGCTTCAACATATCCTCTCTCTTCTTAATACTAAAGAAGCCATTTCCACAAGCATCTTATCTAAGAGATGGATTTCACTTTGGATTGGATTGCCCACTCTTGACCTCGACGCCAAATCCTTTTGTCATTGTCGTTTTGGATCCTTCGAACGTTTTGTAGACAAAGTTCTCATCTCCAATAATGATTCCACAACCATCAAGCTACTTCGTCTCAATTGTGTTGATTATTACTATCTAGACGATCGTAAGATCGATGGTTGGTTTAAAGCAGCTATAAACTGCAAAGTTGAGCAAATAGAGCTAAGTGTTCCATACTTGTTTCAAATTAGTGTTCCTTCTAACATTTGTCTGCAGTCCCATTAGGGTTTTGAAATTGCATGGGGTACGTATAGATACTCCTCTCTTGGTTAATTTTCCTTCCCTTAAAGTCTTGCATTTGGAACGCGTTATGTTTGAAGATTATAAATGTGTTGTAAAGCTCTTTTCTGGATGTGCCAATGTTGAAGAACTGTTACTTAAACATATTGTTGTGCATGATCTTGAGTTCACAGACTACAGACTTCTTGGAAATTTGCTCAGACCAAATGTTCCATCATTTCTGGGCACATTGAAGAAATTCCTGGTGGATTTCAAGGGAAAAGAAAGTGAGTTTAAGGTTGCGATGTTTATTCTCAACAATGCAAGAGATTTGAGGACCATTTCCATCACTCAGCCAAATGTTCGAAAATATATCCTTATACCTCAGAAATAATAACTCTCAGTATCAGAAATTTATGTTGGATATTATACTGTTGCTATTAGATTCATAGATCTTTGTTTATGGTTTTTTTTTTTTTGGTTTCTTCGTCTTCTTTTTTTTTTTTCCAATCCTAAATGTAATCACCGATAAACATATATGAATAACATTGAGTGGTATTTATCCTTTTTCGTGATATGCGTAGAGGGTTTATTAAAATTCACTTGCGTGGATATTATTAAATGATAATTATTCTTTTATTAATTTTTTTTCTTTGAGATCATGAGTAATCAAACTCCCATAACTTGTAAGATCGGAAAATGATTTTTTTCCATTTCCTTATTTTTATGTTTTTCCGTTTTATAAGCCAAGGGGGTCTCAAAGAATACTTTGACTTAGCGTTGGGTTAGGGTTACAATTTACAAGTTTTTTTTTTTTAAAGCACAATGTAGAATGCAAAAGTTTTAATCACCATACTAACAAATTATTTTATAAATTAAAGGTAGTTGCAGTTCTATTACTTATGTCCTATGAATTTTGAAATATTAGATTTTTCTTTTGGGCCAAACTGAAAAATTAGGCTCGTGTTCCCCCCCGGGGGCCGAAGTGGTTATAATAATATCATAGTACTTATTTAAATATAAGTTAAAGGTATTTATATATATATATATTATTTAATATAACAATATTATATTAAATCTCAACCATTTGATGTTAATCCAATAATAGAGATACTAAATGGAGGGAAGTGGAGAGAAAACTCAATGAAAACATTCTTTTTCAGTTTTTTTTTATGAAGTCTTTTTCGGTTATTATCACCCCTTAAATTTCGCATATTTGTTCCCTTTTTAAGGATTTAAATAGAAAGGATTTAGGTTATATTTTTTTAATTCTTTCAACTAACAAAAATATTCTTGAACCATATATAACAGTTAAATATATGAAAAAAACTTAGGTCAAATTCTTTATATTCAGTATGTCAAGTTTTCTGATTACACATGACCATATATCTTTTTTCGTTTCGGTGAATTTGTAATTAAATGCTATTAAATATTAATATTTCAAATATAAGATACATGTTTATGTTTGATTGGAAAATTTGGCATAATTGATATAGGTAATTGGATGCAAATACATTTTATATGTATGCACACACACAGAGATCTTTTAGTATTTTAATTTGACTTCGATATATGACATATATCTAAAATTTTTAACTTATATTTTTTAGATAATAAAATAAGTTTTTCTCTCTCTTTAACTTCCTGACAATAAGAAAATTATCTAGAGTTTAAATTCTGCATCTGTTATAATAAATTAAAATACGATGAAAAATATAAAAAATATTAAAGTTTATATAGACTACCTAAATTGAAATTGGAATTTAGTCTTATCACCAAGTAATAAGGAGCCCCTGAACTAAGTGAACTCCTTTCCAAATATATCACATTGATTTGAGCCTTTGATTACGATATTTTTTGTTATGACACGCTCAACACAGGAGGAGGAAAATATTTTATAAGGTCCCGATCCCAACCAATAAAGTAAATGGGATATATTTTAAATAAATGAGATGTATGGCTCATGTGAGGTAGTTTTTCTTCTTTCCTTTAAAACTGCCTCCTCGTAATTTTCAGTCTAGATTGTGATCCGGTTTTACGTAGGTATTTTGATCCATTCAAAAGGTATGTTTAAAATGAATGTTCCTCTATAGATGGGAAATCGTGGATCCGATCTCATTTGTAATATTAGACTATTAGTATCTACCCCTCTAATTTTTTCTTTTTTTAAAAAAAGAGGTGTGCTTAAAACCTTCACCCTCCATTCCTTTTTCTGTAGTTTTCATCCTCTTTGTTGTTAGATTAAAGGATCTATGTGGCCAAGCTAGCGTGATGGCAAATTAATTAAGTGCCGGCACACCAATGAAGAGGAAGCAAAATGATACGAAGTGATAGACTTAGTGACTTACCAGATCATTTGCTTCAACAAATTCTCTCTTTTCTTCCAACCCAAGAAGCCATTGCCACAAGCCTCTTGTCCAAGAGATGGACCTCACTGTGGACTGGATCGCCCACTCTTCACTTCGATGCTTTAAATTTCCGTTCTTCTATATTCTTCGTCGAGTTTGTGGAACATGCACTAATATTCTTCAGAAATTCCAACCACGTCCAGATCTTTCGTCTCAGATTTGGAAGTTCTGGAATACAGCCCGATGACAACATTGTAAATTGGGTTACAACAGTGATTAATAAGCTCAAAGTTGAGGAATTGGATCTTTGTTTTACTTCTTATTGGTTTAGTGTTGATCTGAGCTCTGAGATTTTGAATAGCAGTGCGATGAGGGTTTTAAAGTTGAATGGTGTAACAGTAAGTACTGATTATTCTGTGAATTTGCCTTCCCTTGAAGTCTTGCATTTGGAAAGGGTTATATTCCCAGAATTTCGATGTTTGGTTATGCTTCTTACTGGCTGCCCACGTCTTGAAGAATTGAAACTAAATTTATTTGTTATATTTGCCATCACGAAGGCCACCAAAATTGAGAGTCTTCAACATCTTGTCTCATCAAAGCCATCGTTTCTGGTTAGGTTAAAGAGATTCTGTTTTGATCAATTCAAAGCATCGGAAACCCAGTATCGAGTTGCAAGATTTATTATGGACAATGCGAAAGCTTTGAACACCGTCTCCATAATTTGTCGTTCAAGTGTAAACTCCCTCCCCAATAACGCTAAAAAAGTTATCCACATGCCCTAAAGGATCTGAGAATTATTGCGGACTTCTATTATATTTCAATTTTTGGTTCCTTTTATGATGGAAAATTGGTCATTTTGTTAAGCTCCGATCACGTGATTGAGGATAAATCATCAACACCTCTTGGCAGAAGAATTAGAAGTAGAAGGAAGTAGTAGGGTTTATGTTGTTTAATACTTTGTCATATATTTTGACAATTAATCATGTCATTGTGGCACTATAATACATGCTCATGAGTCATGACTTTCTTCTTCTGTTTATTGAGACATTTGGCTTTGATTTGTATAGAATTCCCATCCCTCTTTTATCTCCCGTCATAAGATTAACATTTGGGTTAATGAAATGATAAATCGCTGTGTTCTCATTCAATGTTTAATTATCACAATGGTAGTGTTTATTATTGTAATGAAATTTGTACCATTCAAAATTTGATCTAAATAGTAAAAAAATCTAAAATTTCTAATCTAAATTTTTTTCATTGATAATTTTAAATAAATGTCAATCATAAGATTATTTTTATTTTACATTTTATATCTACTAAAATAAAAAATTTTAAAAACATAAAATGATTTAAATTGAACCTATAAGACTGTTCAAAATCAATCTGGATGATTCAAATAATGGCAGCAGCCAGTGCTTATCTTTTTTGAGTATAAAATGTATATGTTATTAATACGATCATGTGGTTATTTATTTAATTAATAGTGACTTTTATTTGTAAGCAAAATTATTAACTCCAATTGAAATGTATAAAGGAGAAACCTACGTTGCAATTGTTGTTTTCCATTTCAAAGAACTCTTTTCTTTGGTTCTGATTATGATGTCGAGATAATAAATCAAGTTTCAGATAAGCATTTTGGGTATATGTTGCTACTGCAACAGCCTTGCTGACTCCACCCATTTCGGTCAGCGAGAATTAATTATTGGCGACAGACAAACCGGTAAAACAACAGTACGACGGTGCCAAGTGGAAGGGCCGTCGCTCAACGGATAAAAGTTACTCTAGGGATAACAGGCTGATCTTCCCCAAGAGCTCACATCGACGAGAAGACCAATTATTCAAATAGGTGGGGGTAAACTAATGAGCTCGGATATTAATGAACTCTATCGAAGAGTTATCTATCGGAACAATACTCTTATCGATCTATTAACAACAAGTAGATCGATGCCAGGGGAATTAGTAATGTGTCAAGAGAAATTGATACAAGAAGTCGTGGATACACTTCTTGATAATGGAATCCGCGGACAACCAATTCATTAAAGAAAGAAAGTTGGAACAATGGCACCCTATGTTTATTTGTTATTTGAAGCACTCTGGTCAATGAGTAATTTTTCAGCTTTGAACTTGCGTAAGTAATTTGCTTATTCTTTTAAATTTTACTCTGTTTTTCCTTATCTAAAAAAGTGTAGTCTTCTTTTCGTCAATTTTGAATTTGAACTAAAATTATAATTATTTTTAAAATTGATGGTCAACATATTATTTAAATTTCTATCCGAACCATCCATATTTAGTATAAAATATATGGTTGATACGAAATATGAGCACGGTTATTTAAATTAGCTCCAAATCTGATGATTTTAACACTTGATTACGATATCTAATGATTTTTTTATTTTGTCACACAGAATAAAGAGACAATATTTCATATTTGTATGAAAATTTGCATCCGTTTTTTCCCCTCAGTAGCTAATTTTCATCCTGTTTCGAAAGATTACATCACCAAGCTAGGGTTATGGCAAATTCAGTTCCGGAACGCCATGAAAGAGGAAGCGAAATAATACGAAGTGATAGACTTGGCAACTTGTCAGATGATTTGCTTCGACATATTCTCTCTTTTCTTCCAACCAACGACGTAATTGCCACAAGCCTCTTGTCCAG